CTGCTCTTTGTGTTCTTGTTGTTTCTTTCTCTTCTTCCTTGTTACCACAGACCCAAGCAACCCACAGTGATAATCATGACAACGATGTTCGTCCAACTGCACCGCGTGGTGTACCTGTTGGTACTTCTGCACTTCTGTACTTGTGTGGTATTTGCGAATGGTGATAGGACCTCAACACAGTCTAGGGAAGAGGATAGGTTAAAGGAAATGAGAGATTTGAAAGCTAATATGGAAGAGAAGAAGAAAAAAGTTGAGGTTTTGCGTGCGTCAGTAAACACCGTAAAGAAAGAATGGAGTGAAGTATCGAAGTGTGCTCAGAATGCAACGAAAACGGCCAATGAAGTTAGAGACCTTCTTATTGAGACTTCAGGCCCTATGTTGCATCTCCCTGAAAATGTAAATGAGAAGAAGAGTGAATTGAAAGAGGTGTTAAGGAAGGCAGTAGATGCAGCAAAAGATATCACTAATGCCGTTGACAAGGCAAATTTGACAGCTAAAAAAATAAACAATTTGGCGCATGAAATTCAACAGGGGGAAGAGGATTTGGCTGAAGCGATGGTTCCTCTTATGTGGACTGCTAATAATCACATTGACAATGAAGATGGAACGAGTCTCTCAGAGGAGAAGAAAAAAATAAAGCAATTTGCTGAAGAGTGCAAGGAAAAAGCGAAGGAAGTACAAACTTTTCTTATGGATGTCAATGAGGTTACTAAAAGTGCTCACAGTTTAGCGGAGGAGGCCAAGAAACAGGCAGCAGTTGCCTCCGATGCAGCAGCGGAACTTCAGAAAATCATTGATGATATTTTCGAACGGCGCCCTCAGATGAAAACAGATCTGGATCGTGAAATTGAGGAGGAGAAACGAAGATTATCTGAAACCACGACAGCAAATGAAGGTAAGGAACCACCACACAATAATAATGAGTTAGACGATTCACATCCAAATAAACAGAATGAGATGGGAGGCCATACAAATGCCCAACAGCAGCAGAATCAACAGGACTCTGAGAATAAAAATGAAGAAAGCAATGTTGCAACACAAGAGAATAATAATAGTTCCCAGAGCAACACTCCAACGTCCAGTCATTCATCTGCTTCTGGAACTTCGCCATCACAAAATATGCTAACTAATACTTCTTCAGTTTCAATCCCTTTAAATGTTACTCAGTTAAGTGACAGCAGCAGCAGTCCTGCATTGGTGCACAGTCCCTTATTGATGCTTCTTGTTTTGATGTGTGTGCTGGGCTGCACTCTCGTTTGCTGATCTTTGTTCCCGTGGTGCAACTGCACAGTTAATCTTTGTTTGAGTGGATATGGATGCATTGTAAGAGCACATTTCTTCTTGTTTGGATATTGGCCTTTTTTTTTTTGTTTTTCAGCTCGATAAATTTTTTTGTCCAGCTCTTTTTTGCTGAACGAATCTATTGGACTCCCTATGGCACTTATCAGACGACGAAACCATTATTATGTAAGGGAGTCTCCTCTTTGTTGGCATTGTCTGGGCTCTGCTTTGCCGCCATTTACTGTGCCCGCCTAGTGAAGTGTGTATATGTGTGTTCCGTGATATTAATAACTCTATTGGTTTTACCT